GGCCACGACTGAAGGCATCCCCGCCCTCCTACTTTCCACCAAAAACCAAGAAAGCGGTTGATCGTGTTAACTGGTCCTTTTTGTCGGCTACCCTAAGGGAATTTGGTTTTCAAAGAAATATGTGCTCCTGGTGTGCGGCTATTTATTCGGAGCCCACTGCTCGAGTGAGAGTAAATGGGGCTTTCTCTGAATACTTTTCCCTGTCTAATGGCACGAGACAGGGCTGCCCCTTGTCACTGCTGCTCTTTATCCTCACACTGGAACCTTTACTCTGTCGGATAAAGGCGAATCCTGACATTTCCGGTCTGATGGGGGGCCCGTTGTCCCATAAAATAGCGGTGTACACAGACAACATGCTGTTTTCCGTGTCCCGGCCCGTGATATATCTTCCAAACCTGATGAGGGAACTCTGGCTCTACGGTGAGGTTTCACACTTTAACATTAACTTGCAAAAGTCAGAGGCCCTTAACCTAACTGTTCCGTGGCAGCACTTGGGGCCACTGCAATCTGCATTCCCATTCCGCTGGTCTACAACCCACATTGTGTACCTGGGTACCAACATTACCCCGACTTTGAGGCCAACTTTCCTCCCTTCCTATCAGTACTCCGGGGTGATCTTGCGAGGTGGACAAGAGGCATGCTCTCCTGGTTTGGTAGGAATAGTGTCCTTAAAATGAACATCCTTCCACGGCTGCTCTGCCTGCTGCAGACACTCCCAGTATCTATCCCAGTTTCTTTCATTAAGCAGGTTAGACGGGAGTTCACTGTCTTCTTGTGGTCTCATAGCGCCCACCGTTTGAGCAAGACCCTGCTCACCCTGCTGAAGTCAAGGTGAGGGATCGGATTTCTGGATCCTCAGCGATATCTAACAGCAATCCACATGGCCCGAGCCCTGGAGTGGTGCAATCAGGCTTCGGACAAACGCTGGTTACATCTGGAACAGACGGCTTCCAATGTACCCCTAGCAGGCCTACTCTGGCTGGGGCGAGACGGCACATCTGCAGTAAATGCCCACCCGCTCATCAGTACCACTCTGCGTGCACTACACGTGGCTCCAGGCATAATTTCCCGGAGGTCCTCACCATCGCTGCTGACCCCAGTAGTGGGCAACTAATGATAGCATCTACATGTTATATTCACAATGACAAAGTATATGGGGTCTATTTATCAATGTTTTCACCCATGATTTTCACAATTTTCAGTAAAGATTCAGCCACTTTGGAACCCTATGAGAAAAACTGGTGAACTTTTAGTAAAAGTGTGAATCCTAGTTCCATACTAATGCCCAGTACTCAGGCTCTATAGTGTTGCAATCCTTAGGGCCATGTCACACTAGTGATCCTATCTCTGGCTAAAATTCGCTACCAGCAAGATCACTTTGGAGGAGCAGCACATAGTGAAAACACTCACCTGCTTCCATGTGTTTTTCCCTTGCCAGCTGGAGGAGTGAGGTGTAAGGAGTGAGGTGTTGCTCTCTTGCCAGTGACTTGCCAGTTTTTGCAGTGTTTTCGGCACGAAGGGAGCAACACCTCACTGCTGAAGTGGGTGAAGAAACAACACATACATAGTGGGCATGTGAATGGAGGTTGTGCATGCAGATTGTGGTGGTTATTTACTAAAGGGTGAAGAGTTTGGAGAAGGGAGGAACAGTCTAGTCTATAGGTTGAACTCGATGTACTTGTGTCTTTTTTCAACCTGACTAACTATGACAAAATAGCCGATTTGGAAAAATTCCCCAATTCAGCTCATTTTCCAGTTCAGCTAGGTTGTCCTAGATTGCTCACTTCTCCTGTCTTCTCCAAACTCTTGACTAATTTGTGAGTAACCCCCTGTATGTTCTCACTGTGTGTGTTTAAAGAGGAACTTTAACCATATCTTCATCACCTTCATGTTTGTTTAACTAATGAATGTAAGATGATTTCATATTAGCATGCAGAGCTGCATGCTGATGTGATTTTTAGTGAAAGAGGGAAAAGGTCCACTTTAAGTTAGTTTCCTGTGGACGCCACATCATTTACCCCCTTTCAAAAATGTAAGTTATTTGGCAACCAAATCAAATAAATAAATAAAAGATCTGATTATCAGAAGATTACAACTAAAACCACCTAATTTGCCAGATTATTGTTTTGAACAGGGGATTTTAAAGAAAAGTGAACGGTCAGGTTACTTGTGTGTAATAACTGTTGGAATTGTCATTATTGCCCTTGAGAGCCCTTTCACACCTAAGCGTAGTGTTAATCATGCTACTGCATAACGCACCTAGCATGCATTACTGTGCTCTAGGTGCGTTGCATGCACAACTTTTTTCCACCACAATGCGTATTGCTTGCTGTAGTGTTGCAGTGGCCTGGACAAGTGTTAGGGTCCAATTCAAATGAATGGCATTGTAATGCACCTATTGTACAATAACACATGCTAGATGCATTGTGCAATAGCGTACATTAATCACACGGTATCGTGCAATTAATGATATGCTTAGGTGTGAACCAGCCCTGGCGGCGTGAACGGGAAATGACTACATGATCCACTCCTTGCTGTATGATAGCAAGCAATACTAGAAAGCAAGCACATTGCTTGTAGGCCCACCTTTGGGTTTGGGTCACTTATGTGACGATCTGTGAAATTCATAAAAGAATGTCGCAGATGCGCAAAAGAAATCTGTTTCGCATTAGTACAACAAATGGCACAACTTGCGACAGATTCATGTACATGTAAGTAAAGCATATATAAATCTGTCACCAGTCTGACAGAACTGTCACACAATTTAGAAGTGTTCTTATTTCCTTCCACTTACTTATCACTGATATGGCAGCATTTCTTTATGAATACATGACAGCATTAGCAACAGAACTACTTGAATTTGTTGTACGCGTTGGTGCTAACAATGAAAATGTCACATGGTTTTCATAAATTTGGCGCAAGGCCGACTACATCCGACTACATCCACACCAACAAAATTGTGTTGCAAATGCCTTATTGTCAGTTTGGACATGAGAATCAGTATAGCACCATGAGCCACAAACACATATAGAAACACATGGGTGGAATGTAGAAATGAACTGAGAATATTTTACCACGCAGTCAACACAGTCGCTTGGTAAATAGATCGCACAATATGACTGAACGCCAAACGTAATATTACCCTATTAAATTGTGCACATTTCTCCAATGCTGGCTGCCATGGATACTGGAACGCAATATAATATCAGCGATTAAAAATATCCATCCACACACATCTTCCTGTGTACATCCAGCCTGCTCAGACAGCAACCTGTGTGAATAGGAACAAGCTACACACCCCAACTATGAGTAACAAGAGATTTTTCGTTCAAGCATGGTTGAACACAGAGTATATACCTCATGATTAAATACGTGGTCTGGGTGATAAGACCTAAAATGGCATTTACATTCCTGGAAACCTGCAGAAACGGAGGAAATTAGACATTTGCCACTTGACTGGCTCCAAACCCTAATCAACACATAAAAATTCTGAACTACTAAAGGTGACATTTGAAAAGGACGAGGTACTGCCCAAGAGTCAAATACATAGAAAGAGCACAAATACATGCCCGTCATTCTGTATAATAGTATTATAATAATACATACTGTATATGATGGAATAGAATGACAGACATCTGGATCAACGGGAGCTATAGGGTTCTGTGTATGCAGGTTATTCAATCATTTTTCTATTGGCTGAATTTGATGGACTTGAGTCTTTTTGCAATCAGAGTAACTATGTAACATGAATTTGATGAGGAGTGATACTATAGAATAACTGCAGCTTGACAATTGGAAAGATTAGAGTTGATGTCATTTTATATCATTAACTTGACGGGCAGACACACACACAAACACAAGAAACAAAATATATCAGTTATGACTGTAAAAACATGATACAATTTACAAAAATAACAATAATATTAATAAATATAATAATATTAATAAAAATATTTATATAGTTGTGAATATTATTTCAATAAATGGAATCTAATACATGCGGTACGTAATAGGCGTGCATATATTTCTTTGTTGTTTTCCTAAAACTGGAAAAGAAACTGTCTGTGTTGCCTACAGCTTCCATTCAGGTGTCTTTTGTTTTCTAACCGGCACTAAGAAAATAAGAGCATGGAGGGGTCTCCATGGGGAGGACATACTACTCGCCTCCTTGATTAGTTTTTTTGCCTGTCTTTCTTGTAGCTTTTTTTTTTACATTAGATATTTAAAGTATTACTATGCAAAGAATTCACACTCAAAACCAGCATGTGTAATGGTCTAACCATCCCTCTTCTATACATGTATATGTTTTAGTCATCAGCGAATCTCAACTTCCTCAAGTCTTTCCCAGAAACTTTTTTTTCAATCTTATGTACGATATTCTGCGTTCTATCCTATTTATTATCTAATGACACATGCTAGATTGATAACATTTATACAGTTTCATATTCCCACAAATTGTTTTAATAAGGGGACCGATGACTGATAGTATACTGTAATGGAGCAAAATGAGAATCAATTGGGCTGTCAAGTCAGTTAATTCCTACGGGATGTATTGGAAGTGAGAGCTGAGACTGTGGGAGTCTGAAAAAAAGAAGTTATTCTGAGGATGAACAAATGACTTAATAACTGAGCAGATATTGGGGTTCTGTTTTAAGACATATGAGCAAAAGTAGAGCTATGCTCTCTCTCGGCCAATCAGGCTTCCCCCCTTCATGCTGTAAGAAAACAAGAGGAAGACTGGGAAAGGTTGCCATGGGTAACAGCTGGGAGGATGCAAAATAGCTGCTAGGGGTAATCGCTTCATTTTCATTGTCTCCTTTCTTCCAGCTGGCTGCTAAGAGGTTCTACTGATATTTCACTGTGGGAAATGGATTCTTCTTGTTGAAGGATCCCTTTCCCAGAGCCATGTCAGTCACAGGGGACTGGTCCCTAACCCCCCTCCCCCTCAGTGTGTGTGATGAGAAGGTGCAGGTTCCTTTCAATGTGCAGCTGATACTCACAGCCTCAGGGCTGGTCCTGTCCTCTCTGTGCACCTCCTGCCTCACCGGCGCCCGGCTTCTTCCAGGGGATCTGCTGGATGTTGCAGGATGGGGCTTGCTGTCCTGCCATAGGTAGTAGAAGGTTCCCAGGATCCAGGCTACGGTCAGGATGGCGATGGCATTAGCCCTGATCCTTCTCATGCTGCAGGCAGGATGGAGAGATTTGTATGAATGGGGGAGGTGAGAGGCTGCCTGCTCCTCTTACATTCTCCCTGAGCTTTCCTCCTCCTCTCAAGCTGTCTCTTTCCAGGGTTCAGTCTCCCCCTGTATTGCTGCCTGCCTCTCTCTGTATCTCACTCCCTTCTCCTTCTCTCTCTCCCTCTCCCTCTCTCTGTGCTTTCACTCAGCTGTTTGTTTTAGCTCGGTCCTGCAGAGAGTGTTCATCCTCCTCAGGGTCCTAATGTCCACCCAGATTCCAGCCACACGTCTGTCAAATGTAAATGAGGGAGTGGGCTCACCGCCCCACCTCACTGAGCGCTCATTCCACCATTGACTCTTATATTTATGGTGCGGATGGAGTTGCATGCTCCATTCAGGACTGTCAGGTTAGGTTCGCATGGGCGTTCAAAAGGAACACTCATTAAAACACTTGGGAATCAAATATAACGTTGGAGCGCATTTTTGATGTGGTTAGGAGGCATTCGCTTTTTTTAGGAGCCTTTTGATTTGTTTTTTAATTTATTTGGAAGGAAGTTCATTAAAGAAAATCTTCCTGAAGTCTTGGACATTCGCATCCGAGTGTGAGCATAACCAGGCGATTTAGAGGCTTTTTTTTTTGCACATTTTTTAGGCATTTGCATTTTTCTATAGGCAGGGCTTCCCCTACTCTATAAGCCAGCTAAGGCAGCAGAGCTGGGGGTTGTGTGGCAGCGGGTGCTGCTGATAGTGCTGGGGGGGTACTACTAATAGTATTGGGTGGGGGGGTTGAGACAGGTGCTGCTGATAATGCTATGGGGGTGCTTTGCGGTGGGATGTCTGGCTGTGTTAGATGCACAGAGAGCCATGCTGTCAGTGGCTCTATGTCTGGTTCCGCCTAGCTGACTGACGTCAGTGGTTGCCAGGAGCCCTGCGGGACACCAACCAGTGACGTCAGTGAGCTGGACAGGAAGCCGGACAAAGTGTTATAGTAGGGCTGCAACAACTAATCGACTAAATCGATTATAATCGATTATTTAAAAAGTTGTCAATGTTTTCAACCATCGATTAATCGGCTTCCGATTAGTTGGCCCTGTTCACGGCTCCACACACGCTGCGCGCCGATTTGTTGTATTCCTCTATAGCTGGTGGTATTCTGCATTGTGCTGTATAATGTACTATTGCTGGGTTTTGTAGTCCTCTATATCCGGTGCCATTCTGCATTCATTGCTGTATAATTTGACACTTTCCATTTCACTATATTGCACACCACACTTTTTTTTTTTATTTTTTACTTCCACCACTCAAAGCTTGCTCCTGTGATGGACTACAATTTAAATACAAACTAGTAGTTCCATCACTGGAGCCATATTTTATTTTTTTATCCGATTAACCGCTTAATCGAACTTAATAATCGGCTAACTAATCGATTTTGAAAATAATCGTTAGCTCCAGCTCTATGTTATAGATTGCTAAGTTCTCTTAGCAACCTGGGAGGCAGTGGCTGCCCCTCTGCCACCCCCCCACGCATACACCTGCTGCTCTCCCTAATGCAATGCCACCTGAGGCGACCACTCATTGTAGGGATGACACTGATTATAGGAACTAAATTCGGCTTTTTTGTCCCCAAAGCTTTTTAAATGGGAGCATCTAAAAAAAAACACACGTAAACACGTTTTTCAAGGTTTTTTTGGGGTGCTCCCGGTCAGTGGCGTCACAAGGGAGGTGCGGGGGGTGCGGCCCGCACACGGGTGACACCATTGGAGGGGTGACATCAAAATGACTCAGTCATTTTGGTGTCACCCCCCTCTGAAAAGTCGGGCGCTCGGTCATGGACCGAACGCCAGACAGTATCAGGAGAGAGGTGGGGACCCTGCGGCATACCTTATCCCGCTGGGTGACTGTCCCCTCCTCTCTCTGCCGGCGTCCATCACCAAGATGGCCGCCGGCAGGTATCAGAAGACTGCCGCGCGTGCACGATGACGTCATCGCGCATGTGAGGTGGCGTCTCGGCGGGGTGACACTCGTTTACCGCTCCAGGTGTCACCCAGCGTTAGGACACCCCTGCTCCCGGTCCATTAGGCCAAAGCGCACAAGCTTATGTTCTTTTTGGAAGTTCACACAATCAGTGACAAGCATCTCAATGCTCAGGTTTGAAAACAATGGGATTCCTCTTGCTGAGCGTTATGGCGCTTAGGGTAAGGAGTTACAAAATGTCTGGGAGGGCATTCATCACACCTGAGTATTTTGTTGCGTGTTTCCTGAAGCGCAACAACGCTCAACATGAAGAATCAAATTACTGCTTGAACCATTGTTGCTTAAAGCTCGACAAAGTACATGAGGTTCTCTTTGGGTGGAATCGGGTATTTTTGGCCCCATAGACATTAATGGGAGTGCCTGAAAAACGCATTTAACGTGATTTTGATCCTAACAACCACTCCTTGTAGCTTTCCATTAGAAAAAGAAAAGCACTCCAGCCTAACAACGCCTGACGAACACGCAAAAGAAAAAAGGCTCATGCTCAAGCTAAAGCGCATTTAAGTTGCACTGACAATTACTTGGATTGAACCAAAGCCTGCCAAACGTTGCTGCCAAGGTAACAAAACAACCCAAACGCCTTCTGAACTGTATGTGTGTACTAGACCATTTTCTTTTATGAAAAAAATAGGTGCTGGCTATGTAAAGCGATGTCAAAACCTCAATAATGCAAAGCCAGTGGGGGGAATGTACTAAAACTGGAGCAGACAGAATCTGGAGCAGCTGTGCATGGCAACCAATCAGCTTCCAGCTTTCATTTTCAAAGCATAAAGAAGGACTCCAGGAAATGTTTTTCTTAACTCATGCAGTGGGGCTAACCCAGCACTTGGAGGGTTAACCGCTCATTTTAATATAGGGTAAAAAAAAAAGTTGCTCTCACCCTATGCTCTGGTTCTTGGACCGGACCTTCCAACACTGTGTATAGATGTGAGGACCTTGAGGAACATTTCAATGCTGCAGTAGAGGAGGAGACAAGCTGGAGGGAGTGTTGTGACAGTTGGCCGCCTCAGGGTTTCGGTTGAGTATATCTTTGTTATTTTAGCACCTAGACACAAACAAGCACTTAACCCTTGCAGCGTGTGGGTAGCCCCACTGCAAGGGTTATGGAAAATGTTTTCCTAGAGTTATTCTTTAAAGTAGTAATAAACTCTCAAATGTTTTTCAATAATGAATCCAGATCAAACAAATATATATTACCCAGCAAAGTATTTCTTTACATTTTTGATCAAAACACTTACAGTCATCATGTTTCCATACAGTTGCCTCCAACTCTCTCAGCTCTGCTTCCCTGAACTTCCTGTCCAGTAAAAGATCACAAAAGATAGAGCAGTCTCCAGCTACTAGCTATCTACTAGCATGGAGTACGGAGGAGCAGGAAAGAGGCGTGCCTTGCTGGGGTTGTTGAGACGCACACAGCTTGCTTGCACACACATAGGGTGGCTCCATTGATTTGGTGATTTTACCAGCATTTGAAAAAGCTGAAAGAACAACTCCGGGAACAATCAAAAACATAATCTTGCATTGGGGCTACCTATAGACTCTCTATGGTGGGCTCTGCAGGGTCACCCTCAGGTGGGCTGGTCGCACTCCTTACCTGTCCGCCTCCTCTTCCTCCACGGTCGCTGATGGGCCCCGCCTCCTCCGCCACCGCCGCTGCTGGCTCTCATTGACTCTGTGGAGAGGAACGCGCTGCTGCACAAGATTACGGTCAGTGATCTGAACAGCGGCGTGTTCGTCTTCAGCCGCCAGTGACAGTCACCAGCAGAGGATTCCATAGCAACCCATGGTGATTGTTACACCACTGGCTACCGCACTACAAGGGTCAAGCGTACATTTTTCTTTAGGGAGTCAAATAAAGCAAATATAATAACTTGATCCTCGGTCCCGGGACGGTCAGCACTTACTTCTCTCCCACTCTGCTCCAGCTGTGAAATGTCCCAAGCCATCACCACATCTAATGCAAGTCAATGGATTTGTGTTAGACACAATGACATCCGTGGTCCTTAGACCAACAGAGCCCAAGGGAGAAGAGGCTGGGTGGACCCGTCTAGCAATCCAAGGGCTGAGGATCAGGTGAGTATATCTGCTATATTTGAGCCTTCAAAACTAAATGAGCACTTAACCCTTGCACTACGGGAGTAGCCCCACTGCAAGTGTACGTTTTTAAGATTTCTGGAGTTAAAAAAAAACAACTTTTGATTTTAATATGACTTCAACTGAACAAACTGAAGAGGGAAGCTGAGTGGTTACTATGTACAACTGTTTCAGATTCTGACCCCTCGTTTTCACCCCTCGTGAACGAAACCTCACAGTAAGAATTCAAAGCATTAAGGTGCCCATACACTGCACTATTCTCATACGAGAATTGCGGGAAATCCCGCGATATACGAGAATCGTGCAGTGTATGGAAGGTGTGCAACCGTTTCTAATGTACGGTCGCACGACTTCTAGAAGAAAATAGTCCATGACTTGTAAAACTAATGTGACCTAGCAGCCTTCAATTGTGGTGGAACAGCGTGATTTATTATACTACCACTTGGTATGGAGTTACAGAACTGAATAAATAAAAAATACTTTGGACTGTAGAGGGAAAGCATCTTTGCATCATTTTACCTCCTAATGTATGCTGAAATTATTCACTCTTGTGGATGACATTCTCCAAAAGCAGCAAGAGTAGAAACTGAATGGAAAGTATTAAAATAACTTATTAAAAAAAGCACACAGCCTTCTCGATTCCATTACTTACAGCCTCACTATAGCAAAAAGGTATAATATTCTGCATACTGTATAGAGTTAATACCTGTATCATTTCCTTTCTTATTATTTACATGCCTTTATTTATATTTGCTCCACATTTACACACAGGCCAAGCTATCCAGTAGGGATGCACTGATACTGGTATTTTGGTACCGAGTACGAGTACCGATAAAAGGTTTTCTGTACTCGCCGATACCGAATACCGAGTTTCGAAAGCCCTACTCAGGAAGCCAGGCGGCGTGTAATGACTCGTGATGAAGCTGGCTTCCGGGCCAATCAGAAAGCCGGAGCTGCGTCATTACATGCTGCCCGGCTTCCTGATTGGCCAGGAAGTCGGCTCCATGCTCTCTCGTCACAAGTGACGAGAGAGCATGGAGCCGGCTTCCCGGCCAATCAGGAAGCAAGGCAGCGTGTAATGACGCGCTGCCCTGCTTCCTGATACAGGATATCGGACTAGCCATCGGAGCATTTGGGCGA